GAGTTCATGTGTGAAATTAACTAACTCCACTTGAAAAGTGAATAAGAGAGCGCCAGCCAGGCACAGGTGGCTCATGCCTGTAGTCCTAGCTACTCTGGAGGCTGAGATCTGAGGGATAGTGGTTCAAAGCCGGCCCAGGCAGACAAATTTGAAAGACTCCCATTAACCAGAAAATAGCCAGAAATGGAGCTGTGGCACAAGGGGTAGATGCTAGACTTAAATAGAAAAGGCAAAGGGATAATTCCCAGGCCCTGGGTTCAAGCCCCAATACAGGCACAAAATAAAAGGTTGACCAAGAGATAGCCCCCAGACGCTAGGACCTTAGTAATGGTTCCTCACAACTCCTCAGGGAAAGAGTTGCACAGCAATCTTACTTTGTTGAACCGAAGACGAGTGGGGATGTGCTCCCTGTCCTCCACCCAACCGCAAAAGCTCTGTTGTGCTCTGTGGGGGGACAGAAATGTATGCCGAACGTGAGTCCTTTGAAAGCATGCCTGATAAAAGATGTGATGCTCCCTTAGTGTGGGGTGCACCCCGGTAATCCCAGTGCCTCCGGAAAGAGCCCAGAGAAGTGAGCAGGGAGCCAGCCTAGGAAACATACACAGGCTGGACTAGAAAGTGTTTGGTATGGGCTGGGAAGGTGGCTCAGTGGTAGAGCGCTTGCCTTGCATGCCTGAGGCCCTGGGTTCAATTCCTCAGCACCACATAAGCAAAAAGAAAAAAGCCGGAAGTGGCGCTGTGGCTCAAGTGGTAGAGCTCTAGCCTTGAGCTGAAGAGCTGAGGGACAGCGCCCAGGCCCAGAGTTCAGGCCCCACGACCGGACCCCAAAAAAAAAGTGTTTGGTATTTATTTAGTACTTAGTGACAAACAAACTTTCTTGGTGTTTAAATAATTTACTAATTCATAATAAATAAGTGGCTCATGTATTATTTTTCTTAAGAAAATAAATAGTAATGAAGTAAAATTAAATAGAATGACAAGGTGACCTCAAAGAAACTGTGTGCCACCTCGCTGAGTGCTGAAGGTACGGAGTGGAAAAGCCCTCATGGGCCCACAGGTCCCAGTCACACAGCCCGCGAGTTCTCAGTCACACACCACCGGCTCCTGCTGCATGAGAAAGCAAACCCAGTGTATCCATGAAAACATGATACAAAAGCTTTAGGATCAGCTGTGGAATGGCCTGTATCGCCTGTTGGTCTAACAGCCTTGACATGTCTTCTAAGCAATCTACTGTTCCATGAGAAGGCTTTTGTTCCGTTTTCATCTAAACACCCACAGTGCCTGGATTTAATCCAGCAATTATTAAAGAAGCTACAGAAACAAAGTTCATACCCGTGAACCTACGCTTTGTATTCGTGGTGCGCTGTCAGACACATCTTCATTGGTAGTTTAATGTTTCCATTTTGCCACTTTAGCACCCATCTGATAGACTAGCTTTCATTTCCTTCAGGGCTAAATACATCCAGATTTGCCTAAGAGTTTGAACATTGCTTCCTGGCATAAATGACTTGTGCCTAGTGAAAGGTGTTGTGACACGCCTCTCTATACAGAGAACAAACTTGGAGCATTGCTGCCCCTCTGCTACTCCTCTCATCTCTTCCTCCTTTCCTCTTGCCTCCATCTGCCTTCCTTTTCCTTTTACAACTTTGCTTGTTTTGTTTATTTGTGTCCTCCTAGCTTCTACAAATGAGGGAAAACATGCAGTCCTTGGTTTGTGAGACTTTATTCACATAGCATCATGATCTCTTGTTCATCCACTTTTCATCAGATGCCATCATTTCATTCTTATTCATTCTTTTATATAGTTTTAATATCTTTAAGTACTTGTACAGAGAGGTTTCTATTCAACCTGTTGGTTTCTAAGTATCATGCGTTGTGATCACAGTCTCCCTTGTTGGGCGACATGGGGAAGAATCTCATTCTTAATGCTGACGAATTCACTTGTGCATATAGACCGTATTCTGTGTGCTCATCCCTCCACCGGCAGACACTTCAGCTAATTCTGTAATTGGCTGTTGTGAGGAGCCCCAGCAGGACTGTGGGGGTTCTTGTCCTAGGGTTTTGAAGATGCTCCAGGGAGCTCTCCACAGGAGCCACATTCCTGTACATTCCCCACACCCTTGCCGGGATTTGTTGCTAAACTCAGTGAGGAGGGAAGGGATTGGAGACTGGATGCTCTAAGTGTCGGGCACAGGAACTGAAAAGAGGAAATACATGTTATTTTTAGATTAGTTTTGCTATACAGCTATAGGTTTTCTCATTAATCATTCAAGGGTCACTAAGCTACAAAGTCTTCCAGGTCATCTTCTGTGTAATTTTTTAAACTTCAGATTTTGAAAAACATGTTTATTGGTCGTCTGAAGGCTCACATTGGAAATCTGCAAAACTATCAAATCCCATCTTTTTATAATGGTATCAGGGATGTGTCACCTTTATTTAAGAAACCCTTTGCTGAGCCGGGCACAGGTGACTCATGACTGTAAATGTAATTACTCAGGGGGCTGAGATCTGAGGATCATCGTTTGAAGCCAGCTCAGGAAAGTAAATCTAAGAGATTCTTACCTCCAGTTAAGTAGCAAAAAGCTGAAAGTGGAGGTGTGGCTCCAAAGATGCAGCTTTTTTCAGCCATGAGCATCAAAAGGGTGACCAAGAGCAAGGGGGAGGGAAGGAAGGAAAAAAGGAAGGAAAGAAGGAAGGAAGGAAGGAAGGAGAAAAGGAAGGAAAGAAGGAAGGAAGGAAGGAAGGAAGGAAGGAAGGAAGGAAGGAAGGAAGGAAGGAAATGTTCTCTCAACAAAAGTAAGGTACCCTCATACTAATGGGCGCTATTCACAATGTATGCATAGCATACCTCAGTACATGTATCTGACAAATATATGCAATTGTTACTCTCTAATTAAAAATAAAACAAAGACAAAAAAAACTCCAGGAACACATTCTGGTTTCTTTGTTGTCTAGACAAAAGTTTCAATTAATGACATTATTAGATTTCAGTGCCCAGTCATTTATTTCTTGTGCCTTTTCTCTTAGTCTCAAACGTTCCCATTCTTTGGTCAACTTTTAGGGCAGAGTGAAGAAGGAAATATTTTCTAAACCCTAAGAGACCTAAAATTGGACGGGAACAATTGAAAGCAGAGGCCGTTAGTTTCACAGGGTAAGGTGAAGGTGACTGAAGAGAGGGCGTGGGCCTGTGAGCAGGCGTCCTGTGCCCTGCGTCCTGTGCCCAGCACCCAGAGAGGGGGCCCCTGGAGACACTGGGCCGGCTATTTCTGGTGAGAACAGCATCTGATTTAAAAAATTTTAAAAACGAGAGTAATCGCAGCTGCTATCTATAAACAGCACTGAACATTCCAAATAATGCATGTGCTACTCAGCACCTCTTTTCCTTCAGAACTTCATTAGCAAACCCTTTTTTTTATTTTAAGATTAATATGTCAAATTACAGGCCAAATGCAATCCCATTCTGTGCTGATAAAGGGTGTGACGGTAGCCTGGAGGAGCTTTAATAAGAGTGCAGTTTCACCAGTGTGATGCAACAAAGCAAAACCAATTAAATTCGAAACTAATCCAGTGGCACGGTAATATATTTGTACAACTAATATGGTTATTCTTAATTTTCATCCTCTCTTGATTTAACTTACAGTCTTCTCTAAAGGCAAACCCACTTAGGAAAAGCTCAGTGTTTTGGGTTTTTTTGCTTCGGCTCTCCTATATTGGTAACCCTCCCCTACCCCCAACCTCCAGATCCATAGGCCTCCTAACATGGGCATGCCAACATCAATAGAGCGCATGCAAGGGTCTGTGTGAAATTTTACACATTACATCTTCTCATTCACGGCGAGTGTCAGCCAAAAGCTGACTATCATCTTCAGTTTTAACAATTTATGGTCAGTGTAGGTGCATATTTAATATACATATAAATAACTGTTACATATAACAAGATTATCACTAAACATGACATCCATGAGTTCTACAACATGTATTGAAATATGCATTCTCAATAAGGAAATAATTCTCTGCCATCATGTATATTTCTGCCTTTAGTTACATGGAAGAGTCACAGAGACGTTGTTATTGATCTAGGCAGTGAATGTTTTCTTTAGGCAAAATTGGCTCTGTGGCAACAGCGTTATTATTGTTGGTGCTGCACTGGGCCATGAAAACTCTGTTTCTCTCTTTCCTTCTTTATTTATTTATACTGTCTTTGGGTAGTTGTGCTGTGGGGTTCCACTTCAGTATGTGTGTTTATGAGTACATGCTTCTCGACCAGCCACACTGGCAGCTCTGCAGCTGGAGTGAGGGTCTGCATCACTCCATCACTGACTGGTTTTCCATGCCACTCGTCCTGCAGACAAAACACAGACTTAAAAGGGAATTTCCGATGGGTGCCGGTGGCTCACGCCTGTAATCCTAGCTACTCAGGAGGCTGAGATCTGAGGATCGCAGTTCAAAGCCAGCCTGGGCAGGAAAGTCCGTGAGACTCTTATCTCCAATAAACCACTAGAAAGTCGGAAGTGGCACTGTGGCTTAAGCGGTAGAGCGCTTGCCTTGAGCTGAAAATTGCAAGAACAGCGCCCAAGCCCAGAGTTCAAGCCCCATGACCAACAACAACAACAAAAAAAAAAGGGAATTTCGGTTTACCAGTCAGGTGTGCTAAACCCCACAAAAACTGCAGTGTGCACTTCTCACCGGTGGGGTGAGGACCAGCTGTGAGCCTGGATGTGGCAGGCCAGAGACCAGGCCGGCCAAAGTGGTACCCCACCTGCTCCCCCAGGGCAACCACGTGGTCAGTTGTCTGGTGAAAACCACCAAAATCTGAATGGGGAAATGGTTGAACCACCCATCCTAAAGAAAAGTATCATCTAGAAATAAGAACTATCTGCTTTGTTACTCTGGAAATAATCGTTTGGGGCTCAGATTCTAGCTGGAATATACTCAGGCCTTGGTGTTATCACAGTGACAAAGGAAGTGTGCTCAGCTGACTGCTCTTCCTCTCTTCCCAGTGGCCAGTATCCAGAAGCTCCCGGCAGCCTCCGTTCTGACAGACATCAACTTCCCCATGAAGGGACGGAAGGGAATGGTGGACTGGGCCAGGAACTCCGAAGACAGGGTCCTGATACCCAAAAGTATTTTCAGCCCAGTGTCTTCAAAAGGTGAACCACAGAGACTGTCTGAACGTTGAGCAGAGCACCCTCACAGTAGCATTAGTGGCATAGAGCTCCATTCAGTAGACATGATATTTACAGTCATGATCCCAGCCCACTTTTATAAGTATAGACAGCTCACACTGGGCTTGTACATATCCTGAGGGAAGGAACGTGACTGTTAAAATTCTCAAGAAAACAGTGACAAAATGCAAAAATATTCAAAACTGAGATTTGTATCCCAGGATAGAACATATGACTTCATCTGTTGGCAGTGGCTCACACCTGTAACCCCAGCTACTCAAGGGCTGGGATCCCAGGATTATGGCTCAAAGCCAGCCTGGGCAGATAAATCTGAAAGACTCTTCTTTCCAGTTAACTAACAAAAAGTCAGAAGTGGAGGTGTGGCTCAAGTGGTAAAGCACCAAGCCTTCAGCAAAAAAAGTAAGGGAGAGAACCCAGGCCCTGAGTTCAAGCACCAGTAATCACACACACACACACACACACACACACACACATGCATGCACATACACACACACGTATACACATACATACATACACACATGCCTACACATACACTGTATCTGTAAGTGTATATGTATGTCTATACATATATATCCCATATTTATTTGTATATAAAGGAGATATTGATGCATGTTCTGCTTTCTGTACAATGTCATTTTTCTTACTGTCTCACATTAAATTTTTCTTCGTTTTTTAGGATATTATCTTATTGTATTAACATACCTTTAGTAGAAATAACTTTTATGAACTTCTTCAGTAGCCTCTAATATTGGTGGCTTTTTCCAGAAGTGAAATGATGGTCTTAATAGTCTCACTTTGGAGATTTCTAACCTTAGAATTTTATACTACAGAAAACACTTGTCTCTTTGCCCTGATGTCATAGGGGAATTAAATCCTCTAAATGTGACTGAAGAAAAATCTTGTCCCATTCTGGTCAGGGTTGGATCCCAATGGGAAACCACCAGCTTCCTTGCCACAGCTACCAGGAGTGTGCTGGGGTCCCCAGTGAGCTGGGTCTGCTCCCTGCTTCCTGTGTCCCCCGGGACGCCATGGGTCTGCCCCCTGCCTTCATCTTGGCAATGTACAAATACAGTTTGGTAAGACAGTATATTTCTTGTTGTTTAACTAATACCTTCCATTTTATCTTTCAGAATTAGATGAATCATCTGTGTTTGTTCTTGGAGCTGTCCTATACAAAAACTTAGATCTAATTTTACCTACTTTGAGGTAAGCTACAAAGGAATAAGCTGTGGTAATCTTTCTCCATTATTTGAGTTTTTTTAATTGTAGTTCATTCTGTGAAAATAGTCGAACAGGCTTTGGTAACACAATGGGCTTATTCCGCAGTGAAATATAAAATATCCATTTAATGCACAAGTTGGTAGTGTATTATGCATTTTAAATCAATTAGAAAAGACCATTTTGTTGTCTGATCATAACCCTGCAATTCTTTTGTAACTGATCATGGATTGCCTACAGATCAGAGGGAAGGAAGGGCAACCCTTGGACTCCCTGGCACAGAACAGGTCGTTGCAATGTTAATCCACTCTATGACACTGTCCATCAACATCAGATGAAAGTCAACGCTTGCTGTAGTAGCTGGAAAACATGGTTTTGGTCTTAATTTGCACAAGACCTCCATTTGCTTCAAAACAGAATTTTAGTTACTACTAAATATATGGCTTATTCTGAGGAACATGTTGAAGAGCCAGGTCAAGCAGAAAACTTCCTGAGACACTTGTCTCCAGTTAACCACCAAAAGCCAGAAGAGGCTTGGCTCAAGAGGGAAAACACCAAGCAAGAGCTCCAGTCTGGACTCAAGCTCTAGTACCAGCACCCAAAACAAAAACAAACAAAAGCCCATATCAGTATGCATCATAATTCATAAAACTTATTCAGGCCAGAGGCTTGTGGCTCACATCTGTAATTCTTAGCTACTCAAGGCTGAGAACTGAGGATTGTGGTTCAAAGCCATCCCCAGGTAGGAAAATCCCAGGAGAGTCTTATCTCCTATTGACTATCAAAAAGCAGGAAGCAGAGAGATGACTCAAATAGTGGTTCCCCAGCCTGGAGCAGACACAGTGCCCAGGCCTTGAGTTCAAGCCCCAGTACCAGCACAAAAAAAAAATAAATATAAACATACAAAACCAAAAATCACAAAATGCATTCATAGAGATATGGATTCTTTCTGCTTCTTAAAGAAGAGAGGTATGGTGGATAAGAGAGCTTGAAGGAAGTCCTGCCCTCCCTGGGTGGTGCTCCTTCACATCAAGCTTACCTATTTATTTAAAGCTTGTATATTTATATAAAGGTTTTAAGAATTCTAGGCTAGATAGTGACATAAAACCAGGTTGTTTCTGTTTCAATTTAACAAGACTAAAATTTCCTAGCTGCCTTGTCACTTAACAATTTAGTTGAACGCTCTTCAACTTTAAGCTAGAAGCAACTTTATCACCCACATTTGCATTATTTGCATGTGAGAACTATAGTACATGCAAAGAAAATATTCAATATATAACGCTTCAGATGATTAATTTACCCCCTAGATATGTAATGAAGTTGTATGATTCATCCTGTTCTGTAAAATATCCCAGAACAAATTCATCTGTACAGTTAGGGTATTTCAAGTTTCATAAATCCATGTAGTCAGGGAACTTAGAAATTTATCTAGGGATACCAATCTATAAAAATAAAAGAAAGGACATTTAATTAATGGTTCAGCTTTTAATCATCTAAGAGATGCTTGTCATTTACAGTGTATTCCTGGATTAATGGGCCCCTTGTGGGCTAGTTAATGAGCATAGCAAATAACATCCTGGCCATTGAATCCCCTACCGTCCTGTACCACAAACCAACTCTGAAACGGCAGACAGACCACCAAGTCTGTCCACAGGGAAGCTCAGGGCTTTGACTTACAAGTTATTTCCAGCTTCAGAAATTCTACACTGCAGAGAGTTGCTATGCATTCTCTATACTCATCCCTTTCATAACGTTTGCTCAAGAACTAGAAAGAGAACCCTGACATTCCAGTCTCAGGCTGTCCATCCAAGCCACTGAAGAAATGAGGTCTGAGGTTCGGAGCCAGCCTGGACAGACAAATCCAAGAGACTGCTATCTCTGATTAACCAGGAAAAAAAAACACTCATGTGGTAGAGCACCATCCTAGAGTGACCACAGAAAAAGGGCAGCCCTCAAGCTCTGACTTTGATACCTGGTATCAGCACAAAACAAAAACAAAAGATTAATTAAAAAAGATTAGTGTTTATATTATAAAAGTGTAGAAAGTCAGAGAAGTAAAATCTTAAACAATTGGGCTGGGAAGGCGGCTCAGTGATGAGGCCCGGGTTTGATTCCTCAGCACCACGTAAGCGCAAAAAGCCGGAAGTGGTGCTATGGCTCAAGTGGTACAGCACTAGCCTTGAGCTGAAGAGCTGAGGGACAGCACCAAGGCCCCATGACTGACAAAAAAAAAAAAAAAACTTAAAGAATAAGTTGAATTTTCTCCACCCCTTGAATAGCACCACAGAGATTTCAGTGTTTCAGACGGCAGACATCACACATCTCAAGGGCGGGAAGAACTTAATTGCTATAGTTGTGAGATCTACTTGGCTGTACGATCAGCTGTTCTGGCAGGATGTCCCAGAGCACAGGCTTCCAGGACATCACACAGCTGCAGATGGCAACTTGGTGGCCAACTATTCCCTTACGTGGATTATAATAAATTGATCGCATAAAGTAAAGGAAATTCTGTGTAGCACACACTTTTTTTCCCAGAGGGAATCACTGTATAATGTAAGTTTGCTTATTTTTCCTTTATTAAGCATTTAATACTGTCATAAACATTTAAAAGAACTGGGTAAACTGAGGTTTAGGGTGTATTTGTTCAACATACATGTCTTGAGCACTGAAATGTCAAGTATGATGGAAATGAGGACACATACATGAGAATACCGTCTTGCCTTCACTGGTCTTAAAACCTTTAGAAGGAGGCATGTATAGAAATGGTGGATCCCTTGATAAAATTGGACACCGTACTGTCACAAGACAGGGCTGATGCCAGGGTGAGATGGGCAGCCAGTCATTGTTAATGAACGGGCACACACATCTTCCTGATAAAACCCAGCAAACGCAGGACTCAGGATGCCCCCTCTAGGCCCCCGGGAAGCCGACGCTCCGGACTCTGTGCAAAGCTGTCTGCATGGGCCGTTCCCGGTCCACCTGCTCCCACTCCACCCTTGTCCACTGCCCACTCACCGGGCCACAGCGTCAGCACAGAGAGCAGTTCGCAAACATCCCGTGCACTTGCTAATCCTGCACAGAACGCCCATACCCATGGTTTTCAATAATGTAGCCACTTAGGTAATTTTACAATAACAGAAATACTTTACTATAAAAACTACCCTCTGGACTGGCGGTGCTGAGCTTTATTTAGAGCAGGGAGGATGGGTTGTACCTGGCGTAGAGGAGCAGAGGAACGGAAGGAGTTCATAAATAAACAGCAGCACAGCTGAATTCCCGAGCACGCAGTTTCACCAGGGAAGGAGCTCGCGCCTGTGCAGCTGGCGCCATTTTACCCTGGCCCTGGTGCATCTTGTTTTTACCTGCATATTTCTGGTGGTGCCACACACTCGTCTCCAAACCTCAAGCTCTAGCATGTTCCAAGAGGCCCGCCGACTCCGCCAACATGGCAGCTCGCCTGGCAGGTCTTCCAGCCTTCTTACTTCATGTATACCCACTGACTCCCTGCCCGCTTTCACCCAGAGAACAACGCACTGGCCAAGCACCCTGATGCCCAACCCTCAAAGCTGCCCTCCCCCATGGTGCGGCCACTGCCAGCCCAGGCTCAAGCCTCGGCGCCGGGAGGGCAGGCCACTGGCTCGCTGGCTCTTCCTGCAGCTGCTTCTGTGAGGAAATGCGATGTGCTCGTGTCTTCTCACCCGCTACGTTGTCCTGTGTGGTTAAGTGTGTTTCCTGCCATCACTGTGTACGTGAAGCTAGGTTCACAACGACCTGCGCTGCCCAGTGCTCCAAACCCCCACTTGGGGAACAGCTCAGGGTTCTTTCCTCTGTGCCAAATACTATCCAAACTGCCGAAAGCATTATCCTAACACACGAAGACACAGCCCAGTGGCTCAGGCCTGTAATCCAAGCTACTCAGGAGGCGGAATCTGAGAACTGAGGTTTGGAGTCCGTGGGGAAGGAAAGTCCATGAGATTCTTATCTCCATTTAACCAGCAAAAAGCTAGAAGTAAAGAACCACCTTTGAGAGAACAATACGAAGGGACCACGCCCCGAGATTGTTGAGAGACGCCACGGGAGTCTCCCTTGTCACACGACAGTACCGGGAGGCGACAGCAGAGTGGAGGGCAGATAGGCATGAGCATGGTCCTCCCCTCAGCCTCGCACCCCCAGGCCTCCGCTTAGACCTGGAGCTCCGAGGCCACATGGAAGCAGTGGGCAAAATGGCAAAGATGCCTTTATTTCTCTCCAGGTTCTTTGCTGGTGACGGTGCACAGGGTATGCGTCGCGTGCCCACGGGGCGGCCACGCTCAGGGAGGGTGGGTTTGAGTGCTGGCATCCTAGCAGGGGCTGAGCATTGGACAGAGTTCTTGTCAGCCTCTCCTGCCTGCCTCTAATCCGTGTTCCTCTGTTTCAGAAATTACACCGTCGTGAATTCCAAAATCATCGTGGTGACGATCAGGCCGGAGCCCAAAGCCACAGATTCATTTCTGGAGATAGAACTGGCTCACCTGGCCAATGTAAGTGCCCTTCACGTGGCCCGAAAGATGGGCCTTTGTAGTTGAAAACAAAGTAACGTCATATGAGCATGAGTATTACACAGAAGCACACTGGCATGTGAGGCTTTCGTGTATGATTATTATCATGTGTGACAAATAGATTTCATCTGTTTGCACATCTCCAGCAAGCTGTGTGTTTGACCCTGGGAACTGGAATGCAATGAGAAGCTATCTGTCTGTCCTCTGGTGGGAAGTCTGCTCTAGAAATGTTCAGCTGTGAGGGGCATGTAGTAGTAGAAATTATAATCACAGTTCAAAAGGGATGACTCATCCGGGCACCATGGCTCACACCTGTTATCCCAGCCACTCAGGAAGCTGAGATCTGAGGATCACAGTTTGAAGGCAGCCCAGGGAGACAAATTTTTGAGACCCTTATCACCAACTAACCACCAAAAACCAGAAGTGGAGCTGTGGCTCAAGTGGTAAAACACTAGCCTTGAGCACAAAAGCAAAGGGACAGTGTACAGACCCAGTGTTCAAGCCCCAGGACCCGAACACACACACACACACACACACACACACACACACACAAGAGTCAATCATGTTTCACACGCAAGAGTTTTATGCTATTCCTTGCAAAGCCTCTACAAAATTGTCTTCCATGGAAGAGGAGCCAGCAGGGATTGAGTCATTTTCGAAGGTTTACGAAGTTAGGGAGATAATTTAAATTCACATCCTGCAGGGCCCAAAGCCTGTCTAATGTCTGCTATTGTACATTTTCTGATTTCTGAAAGAAATCAGCCTTGGTGTTTCAAGAAAATGATCCTCATCTTCCCCAGGAACTGGTTCTCGAGACAATGCCCCAGGCTTCTGGATGGTTTAATGAAAACTGCAAATCTTCCTGCGATAATTTTGAAACATTGCGATTAATATTTAAACTATGGTACCATTTCCTACTTCGCCCAAATGTGAGCCTTGATTCTGCTCTACCTTCCCAGACCTCTCCTCGTACCAGACACAGTTCCTCCTCTCCACCCCACCCCCACTGCAGAGTTGGGGGGAGGGGCAGGCACAGAGGAGGTTGGGCTGGAACATGGAATCTAGGTGTGTGCCCAAAGTCATTTATGAATTTATGAAAATATTTCTTCTGCTTCTTTTCATTGTTACTCATGAGAATATATAGTTACACGCATTTTAGTATAAAATAGGAAGAGATGTTAATCCCTCACTGAATTTACTGAATAATATATAGGCTGTCAGAACAGGTACATTTATAATCATGCCTTTAACCCATAAGACTAGAACAGATTTTCTAAGCATTTTAGTTGAAGATTAATTATAACTCTCATGCAGAAAACATTTCTATACACAAACATTTGAAGACTTTCCCAAATAATAATGAAACATTTACGATTTAAAGACCATGTTAATTAGAGGAAATGGATAGGTTATAAAAGAGTAACATCAAAAATCACGCTGAAGCAGTCCTGCAACTTCAATTCCACAATACTATTGAAAGTGAACATGTTTAGGCTTCGAATCTAACCTTTCTATTTCGGGAATAAACATTGGCTATATGATTTTTTTAAAAGCTAAACTACACACAAGAAAATTATTTTCTGTAGAGGGGGAAAGAATGGTTACTCAACAGACATCACAAAGAGTCACGGAGAAGCATGTAAGACTGTTGAACCTGGTGCTGCTGACCACAGCGGCTGAGATCTGAGGATCATGGTTCTAAACCAGCCTGGACAGAAATGTCTCTAAGACTCTGATCTCCAATGAACTAGTAAAAAAGCAGAAGTGGAGTTGTGGTTCAAATGGTAAGGAGCCACTCTTGATTGAAAAAGCCAAAGAGAGCATGAGGCCCTGAGTTCAAACCCTAGTTCACGCACGCACATGGATGCACACATGCACATGTGCGCACACATGAGCACGCATGTGTCATTTGATGTTAGAAGTAATTGCACCGTCTGTGCTGTCCAAAGTCTGCTGTCCACTGTGACAGGTCTGGCAGAGCCAGAGAGGAGGAAGGGGCGCCGTCACCCCCTCCCATCCCTTGTCACCTGCAGCACAGACCCGGCCCCAGGCACAGGCCGGGCCGCTGCTCACACAGCCTTGTGCTTCACGTGGAGTTGGCAACACTTATTATACCACTCACATTTATATTGCTTCCCAGGTCAGGTTATGCAAAATATTTTCCCATTCAAGTAAACAGTATAGGACTGATCAGCTTAGGGTATATTAATATTCAGTAAAGGCATTCTATACACTGACACTGGTTTGTTTCCATTTCTGAGATAACCAAAACACAGCTGAGAATAAAATATGATTTGAGCTAAAAGGTAAAGAAATTGTATCTGTGTGTGTCTGTTTGTGTGTGTCTGTGTATGAGCAGTGAGGTTTGAACTAAGAGCCTGTGCCTTAGCATTTTCACTCAAGGTTGGTACTCTACAACTTGAGCCACAGCTCTACTTCTGACATTTTCATGGTTACTTGGAGATAAGAATCTTAAAAACTTTTCTGCCAGGACTGGCTTTGAATTGGGATCCCCAGGTCTCAGCCTCCTAAATAGCTGGGATTGCAGGCGTGAGCCACTGGTACATGGCAAGAAATTATATCTTACAAAAGAAGTTTGAAATAAAAACTAGCTAAAATTTCATGATAACACACACACACATACACACAGTACTAGCCTTGAAATTGGACTATTTTAAATACAACATTATCTTTAATAACTTATCTTCCTGCTTTGACTAGCTTCTCCTACAGAAAGCATCTTCTGTGCTTCCTTGAGCTCTGGATAGCAACCTCCAGATGCCGTTTCTTTATTTGTCACGTGAGGAAAACAGAAGGGTAGGGATTGTCAGTTAGAGGGAGTCGAGGGAAAAGCCCATTAACATTTCGTAAGTGAAATGTGTTCTTTTTAAAAGCTTTTAACAAACAGCATTTACAGTATGTTCAATATAATAAGGCCCTTGGGAGCTGGTAGGACTAGGAAATAGAATAGCAACTCCAAATGGTATTTAGTAAAGCCAATTGAAGTTTCCAGCAGCCGGGCAATTAATTAGCAAAGCATCATTCTTGCTCAGTTTCCCTGGCATGTGGCTTCATTTCCATGACCTGGGTATCATTTGTGCTGGGCCTGGTGGTCATTTGCTTTTAAGGAATTTTGTGTTTCATATTTCTAATGTTCTTTTTTATTTGTGTGACATGATTACAAATTGTTACATTCTACAATGTATAATCATTTTATTGAAAATAATTACTGAAACCTAAGTGCAACAGAGCAGATCTGTATGCATGTGTGGACACACATACACACATGTGTGCACACACATGCACACACACACAGTGAAGATCCACTATGAGACAGTTGGGGCCTACCAGGTTAACATCCTCATATTTAAAGCCAAGTTAGAAAAACAGACAATGAATGCATTATGATTATCCCATGTTTCCTCAACTTTTCAAATACATTATTTCTCTAAGTAAAATGTAATTATGTTGTTCCTTCCATTTTGAGTGGAGAGATAGCATGCACCCTGCTGGCCTGTAGTCTAACCTAGCCCTTAAAAGGAAATGGTTTTACTCTGGGCAGCTGCTCTATGGCCAATGCAGGGTGCTACTTGGTACTTCAAAGTTGCAAGCAAAAAAAAAAAAATATTGCTCTCAAAATGGCCATATGCAACAAAATCTCATGAGAATCTGGATCCGGAGCTATTTTCTTTGCCATATTTTTTTAACATATTACCTCTGTGTGTGTGTGTGTGTGTGTGTGTGTGTGTGTGTGTGTGGTGTGTGTGTGTGCGCGCGCGCGTGCGTGCACGCGCGTTCGCATGCGTGTGTGAATCATAAGCCACCATCTTGGTAAACCTCAGCTGAAACACTGCATACTGCAGCGCTGGTCAGCTTTTTGCCAGCGGCACGGGCCCCACATCCCCGGTGTTCTCATAACTGCTAAAGGCTAACAACTTGCGGATGTAAACAGCACTTGGTAAGGGCTGAAGAAGCACAGCACGTGTGTAATTCCCACAAAGGGCCATTTACATCCTTTAGCTTTCAGTAATAATTTTTAATTTGCTTTACGTTTAAATTTTATTTCATTTATTATTTTTTGGTGCAGGTACTAGATTAGAACTCAATGCTTTGTTGCTCTCTCTTGGCTTTTTTGGCTTCATCTCTTCCACTTGGGCCACACCTCCACTTCTGACATTTTGCTGGCTCATTGGAGCTACGAGTCTCCTGGGCTTTTCTGATTGAGCTGGCTTTGAACTCAGGCCTCAGATTTCCGAGTAGCTAACATTACACACAGGTGTGAGCTGCAGGCACTGAGCCCTTTACTTCTAACATTGCCTTTCAACCTTGGTTTTTGGCCCTTTGGAGGCATTCTGTGCTGGGTTGATGCGGACACTCCGGTCACGTTTTATTAGAGCAGAATTTAGCAACTATTTTTGCAAAAAGGTAGAAGTGTTTAGATACGGGAGCCTGGTGGTTTCGACCACATGCGCTCAGTGATGTTTTCCTCATGTCAGAGCAGTCACAGACAACCAAAGGAGTCAGTTCCACTAGAATCGTATCTGCGAAGAAGGCATGACCGGCCAGGCTCAGCCGCGGCCAGCAGCTTGTCGGCTCCTGTGCGGCAGACACACAAGTGGCCAGGAGGTTGCCCACGTCTTTGACCCTCAGAACCAATGAACCTGAGTTACGTGTTCAAGGCAGACTCCAGTGTGGCTGCATGTCAAAAGGACATGGTACATGTTTGTTGCAAATGTGTTGCATGTTAACAGAAAATGTTCAATGTCATTATCGTTAAGGGCTCTGGTTTCGGGCACTTGTTAGGTTTATCTGAGCTGGCCACGTTTAATCACGTGAGCCATTGAAATGAAGGACCCAGCCAGGCACCAGTGGCGCACATCTGTAGTCCTGGCTGCGTAGGAGCCAAGGTTTATGATTCACAGGCCAACCAGGCAGCAAAGGCCCTGAGCTTCAGCTCCGTTAGCCGGACTGCACCTGATGAG